AGACCTTTTATTCACATGAAAAAAATAATATATCAAGATTGAATGGAGACGATCCAATTTTCAGACGAGAAGATCTAAGAAAACTCAACTTTTAATGTTTTTTTAGAACGGTTATCCATTAATTCTTTAGTGGTTGCTCTTACCGAAATTCAGCAAACATGAAACATAAAATAAGAGTGGAAATATAAAATGAGAAAGAAAAATTACCAATTCCCGAAGTGGAAACATAAAACCAATAAGAGTGGCAATGGACCTAACCATAATTTGGATAGGACGGGTAGATCTGACTTTGGGTTTGGGTATGAGTCCAAATTTTAGACATGAAAGGTTGAGTCCTGCATATTTGACCTAGACCTGGACCCAGATCCGGATCCGTACCCGACCTTTCGCCATCCCTAAAATGATGCCGAAACCGGAATTTGGGGAAAATGGTGGGAGGGGAATTGGGTTTGGGTCCCATCACGTAATAAAATATAAGAAAGAGGGGTGCATGAAGGCTTGGATTTTGTAACATCCCCTCGAAGACTGCAGAGAGGATGAGAGGTGGACTTTTTTAATTCAAGAGAGAGGAAGCCAGAGTTTTCAAAAGGCAGAAGAGAAGTGGAGAGAAGAGAGAGAAAGAGATGAGAGAGAGAGGGGGGAGGGGTTTAACGTTTTAAAAGGGTAGGCATGAGTGAGGGAGGAAGCATCCTTAAAAGCAGAAAAGGAGAACTGGATCACAGTTGGGATGTTCGTTTCAGACACGGTGGCTTTAAATGCTCCTTAACAACTTCATTCAACCTCTGTTCAGTCAGTAAATCTTCTCTATCTTCTTCCCTGCCCCATTCTCTCCCTAAGGTTCACAGGTATTCTGCAACCCACTTGTTCAAACTTCATCCTGGTCTCTCTCGCTCTCTCTCTCTCTCCTCTCTCTCTCTCAACCACTTGTTCAAACTTCAAAGTGGGTTCTCTCTCTCTCTCTCATGTTCACCTTTGAGCTTCTCTTGGACACTAAGGGTAGGAGCCCAAGAATGGATAGGTTTCTGCTGCACTGGGGACTCTTCCTTGGCCAAGTACTGCAATTCTGTGTTCTACGTGGGGCTTTGGAGAAATTGGGTCTTCTTTAACAGCAGAAATATCATTGTTGAGAGATTGGGTCCCGCTCAATTCCGTTGTGAAATTTGTTGTGGTTCTTCGGTTGTTTTCATGGTGAAGCTTTTATCATAGTTATGCTCACAGAGCAAGTTCACGTATTTGTTCTCTTTCACATTAGATAGCAATTCTCTTTCTCCATTGTCTTCTAATTACCTTTGTACATTTTGGTTTTTGTTGACCTTTGATGTGAATTTCATGGTCACACCTCTATTACCTGATGCAATGCGGTGGTTTCTATAAAATTGGTTGGACTCAGATATGCAGTTTGAAAGAAAATATCTTGGGCTCATTTTCTTGGTTCCTGGTGTGAAGAAAGTCCAGGGAAATTAGGTTTCCTGTAAATTCATCAGGTATTCTTTGCCACTCTATATTTGTACATGTTTTTGTTTTCTCAGAGCTATTTTTGAGAAGTGAAATTTTGGTGATATAGAAACAAAGTACAGTCACAATCTTATGGCTAAGAGAATCATGGCTTTTGTGAATTGGGTTGGAGGTCTTTACATGGTTCTGATAATTTCTTCAAGAACCAGTCTCTGTGCTACCCCAAATTCCGGTCGCATCGAGCCTGGTTTTCGTGGGTCTCAGATGAATTGGATCGATAACCAGGGTTCGTTCCTCTTCTCCAAGGGCCAAAGTTTCGTTTGTGGTTTCCGTAACATAGGGGATGTCACGTTGTTCACTCTATCAGTATGGCATGTTAGAAGTTTGAGGGTTGTTTGGACCGCAAATAGGGACTCCCCGGTTCGAAACTCCGATGATTTCGTGTTCTCGGAGGATGGGAACACATATTTGGAGTCAAATGGGTCCCCAATTTGGTCGACCAACACATCAGAAAAAGGAGGGAGCTCCTTAGAATTGCAGGATTCAGGTAACTTGGTATTGCTCACTAATGATTCCAGGATACTATGGCAAAGCTTCGCCAACCCAACTGATACTCTTCTATCTGGTCAGAACTTCACTCAAGGAATGGAACTTGTGAGCAATTCGAGTAGCAGTAACATCTCCTCTGGTAATTACCACCTAAGAATCGATTCGGGGGATATGATGCTCCTTATCGATTTCAACCCACCACAATTGTATTGGTCCATGCAGAAGGATACCAGGCAAACCATTGCTCAACTTAGTGGTGACATCTATTCTGCGACTTTAACTTCAAATTCATGGATGACCTATAACAAAAGGGGGACCTTATTGGGCCAGGTCATCTTCTCAGGCGCTTCTGATCCTAATGCTACTTGGGCTGCAGTTTTGGGACCCGATGGGTCAATATCTTTCTATAACCTGCAAAGTGGGGGCTCAATGGCTGAATCGACCACCATTCCGGCTAGTGTTTGCCAGAAGCCCGAGATTTGTGGTCCTTATTATGTTTGTCAAGAAGATTCAAGTTGCAGGTGTCCCCCAATCTTGAGCTCTGCGACTTCTTGTGCTTCCTCAGTTGTGTCATCCCCTTGTAGATCAAATGGGTCGGTCCGGCTTGCAGAGATAGGCGATGGTTTGAGCTATTTCGCCAATGACTTCATTTCCCCTTTGGAAAAACAGAGCCTCTCGAGTTGCCAAGGTGCCTGCCAGAATAATTGCTCTTGCATCGCGTTATTCTATGACAATAGCTCAAGGCGTTGCCTTTTGTACTCTCAGCTAGGAAGCCTGCAACAGGTTAGTGGTCCCTCTAATGGCTATGCTGCCTATATTAAGGTTTCAAATATTGGTGACAATGGGTCCTCAAACCCTGAGGACGGGGGCCAAAAACACTTACCCATCATTGCAATTATAATCATAGCTGTGATGACAATTGTGGTGATCATGGGTCTCATCTTTCTCGTATATAGATATCACAGGAAGAGGAGATCAACTGAATCGTTACGCGAATCATCAGAAGATGATACATTCTTGGAGGGTTTATCAGGAATGCCTGTTCGTTACAGTTATAGAGAGCTCCAATTGGCTACTAATAACTTTACCAACAAGCTCGGTCAAGGTGGATTTGGTTCGGTTTATCAGGGAGTGCTCCCTGATGGCACCAGGATCGCAGTGAAGCAATTGGAGGGCATAGGTCAAGGGAAGAAAGAGTTTCGTGCCGAAGTGAGCATCATAGGGGGTATTCACCACGTTCACCTTGTGAGGCTAAGAGGCTTTTGCGCTGAGGGCACACACAGGCTGCTTGCTTACGAGTACATGGCCAAAGGTTCTCTGGACAAATGGATATTTCGAAAAGATGAGGGGTGCTTCTTGTTGGACTGGGACACTCGATACAACATAGCTTTGGCCACAGCAAAGGGGTTGGCCTATTTGCATGAAGATTGCAACGTGAAAATTGTTCACTGTGATATAAAGCCAGAAAATGTGCTCTTGGATGATAATTTTGTGGCGAAAGTTTCAGATTTTGGGCTCGCTAAGCTTATGACTAGGGAACAGAGTCACGTATTCACCACGCTCAGGGGCACAAGGGGGTATCTTGCTCCAGAGTGGATCACAAACTATGCCATATCGGAGAAGAGTGACGTATATAGTTTTGGTATGGTTTTGTTGGAGATAATTGGGGGGCGGAAGAATTTCGATCCTGTTGAGAGCTCAGAGAAGGCCCACTTCCCCTCATATGCTTTCAAGAAAATGGAAGAAGGGAAATTGAAGGACATCATCGATGAAAACTTGCACTGTGACGAGAAGGACGAAAGAGTGGAGATTGCAATAAGAATAGCATTGTGGTGTATACAAGAAGACATGTCTTTGAGGCCGCCTATGACCAAGGTGGCGCAAATGCTTGAAGGCATCATGGAGGTGCCCCAGCCCCCCACTTCTTCTCAGTTTGGCTTCCGAGTATATTCAAATTTTTTGAAACCTATAAGTGAAGGGGGAACTTCGTCAGATCCATCTGACTGCAACAGTGATGCATTCCTGTCTGCAGTCCGTCTATCTGGACCCAGGTAACTTATGGAGTAGATTATGAAGCAGCTCATCCATCAAGGCGTTAATGGAAATGAGCCATTTTTTTTAGGATTTTTCAATGGCTTGAAAAATGCGTTATTTAATAGATGTGGGTAGCTTGGATTTTTACATCCTTGTACTTGTTGAGGTTTTGAATGAGATTATAATGTACTTTAGTCCAGATTCATTGTACCATGATGCCTTTTCTTCGTTTTCTTTTCTCTGATTTGTATGGAGATTGATCAATTTAGTGTAAGATTCATAGATTTTCTGTTATTATCGAACAAACAAAAAAAATACCCAGTTTTCCTATTCTCATACTTTGTCCTGTCTTGTTGAGTTTTTCATTTTGTCCAGAATCTATCAAACTCAACATAAATTCAAGATGATTGGAGTGGAAGACATCCAATCAAGAAATGAACATCAAAAAGAGAGTTCTAATAATGCAAACAAACAATAAGGAACCAACTACATAAGTACTAAGAGAAACTAGTTCTAGGAGGTCCATTGATTAAAAGGCAGTATCTCTGACATTATGGGTTCTTCCCCACCATTTCAGTAGAGCAGCAATACTTACTACCACCTTCATCTCCCCATTGTTAAATTCAGACCATACAGAATTCAGTATGATTAGAGGGGGACCCTGTAGAAAAGCATACTATTCTTTTTGTTGTGATGCTGAACTCGATCTCCTTTGTCCATGACTTTCTATTTTTGTGTCCTTTGATTGAGCAAAATTGTACATTTCTTCATAAAGTCCCTATGCATGTAGTTTTGTACAGGTTGAGGAGGTCCAAATATAAGATAAGTTGCTTGCCTAACTAGGAATTTGTTGCTGATCAACATGTATTTGTAGATTCTTTTAGTGGAATAATTCTTCAGCATCACGCTGTGATGTCTTTGCATCCTTGAATGACTATATATGCCCAACCCACGTGATTATTGACACCACAGCCATGGGGAAATTTGGGATTGATGGTGCATGATTTTTTTCAAAGAGTTTGGCATTTCAAACTGCAATTACTGCTTCCTTCAAATTTTTATAGCAGAATATTATAGTACCCACACATTCTGTTCTTCTAAAAAACCTGGTATTTTCATTCTTGTTCAAATCCTGAGCTCTCAAACTGCTGTATTTGAGGAACACACCAATCTCTTGGGAATTCAGGATCTTTGTAGGGTGTTGAACTTTTAAGGCTTTGTTCTATTCTATTCATTGCGTATATGATGATTGTATGTCAGATTTTGTGCTGAAAGCATAGTCTATCCGATGAGAGTTTCTTATTAATATACAGATATTTAACAGTGAATGAATATGGAATTAAATGTGGATACAGTCAATAAAAGTATCTGTCTCGATTTCACATCTGACACTGAAATCTTTAATTTAGTGAGTTAGGAATCGGGAATAGGGGGCATTATAGACAAATCCATGTGGGAATAGAGCATCCATTACTGAAATTGCTGCCTAATTCTCCCTTATGTGGCCTGGATTGCGAACATCTCGATTTGTTTCTTTTTTAAATATTACGAGTCTGTCTCTGATACATAGTTTGTGGCAGGTTGCTTAGTGACAACATACAGCACTACAAAAACCAAAATAAATAAAGCACCTTTTTCATGCTTTTTACTAGTCTGCTGAATTCGCCACTTTGAGCATAACATGATAGAATATAAAGTCATCTCAATTCAGAAGCTTTGGGCTTCTGAATCCACACTATAGAAACTAAATGACCCAGAACCATCCAAGAACTGATCCTCCTGCCAAACCAAGACCTAAGAATAAAACCATTACAAGCCCTGCCATTTCAGCCTCCTCTAAGGGTACAGATTTAGGACCAAGAATCATAAGAACACTTGTCAGATACCCATTGGTCACCCCTAGTATGCTTGTTAGTGTAGTCACTGGAATTTCCGTCCTGAAAAGCTTGGGTCCATGAAGGCATGCCGCAAAGAATGGATACAATAAGAGCCTTGCTCCACAAGCCCATACCGCTTTTTTGGCCTTCTTTGGAACATATAGAGCGGTCAAGGACTTACCCACTAAGTCTGAAACATTATATGTGGTTATAAGCAAGAGGGCATACCAGTCTTTTAGAAGCTCTGAGTGCACATCTTCAGTTATGTATCCTGGAAAGATAGAGAGAGTAATGACATAGATCAAAACGATGCCTGAGGCAACCCATCGGATTCTTCTCCAAACTGCCCAGAATGCCCCTGTAAGCAAATTAGGTTTGGGATTGGTGTTAAGATTAGAGCGGGTTGGCAGTTTGGGAGCTTCAGGGCATGGGTTTTTGAAGTTTCCAGTGAGGGTTTCAGTTGCCACGCTCTTTTGGCCTCTGTAGTACTTCATTATGGGCAGCTTGTTGAGGATGTTGTAGCATATTATGCAGATAAGAACTATTGATGTGCTGACGATAAAATAGAGGTGAGCACTCGCTTGTAGGCCTTGTGGTGTTTGGGGTAGGGAAGCTTTTGTGACAAGCCTCAGAGTGGAAACAAGAACACCTGCACCACAAATGACAACACCTAATAAGTGAGAACCAAATCTTCTTGATTTTCTTTCTAAGTGCAAGAACCATTGGATGATGCTATGGAGCTATTGCAACTATGTTATTACTTCATGGAAAAGCAAGAAAAATCTATTTCAGGAGCATTGGAAACATGATAAGAAAGAGTAGAATTTAAACTATTTCTTTCGAGTACCTGAGGTTGCGGTTCCAGCGAATACTGCTTGCATATAACGTTCAGGAAGCTCACCTGTCGAACCTATAAGACTCCCTGCCACGACACCATCAGCTACACCACACATGACCACCATTGAGACGGTCACTCTGTAAGCTCCACTTAACCCTTGTCTCCCCTGTATATAAGTCCAGTCTAAAATGGGCATCATGATCAAAGAGAGAACAAACATGGCAAATCCACAATTCATTCTCAGTCTAACGCTTGGCCTATTAGTCCAACATATCAGACCAACCAGAACGGGTAAAGAACAACCCATGTAGGCCACCGAGAAAACCTTGTCCACATGCTTCTCCGGGTATAAATAACTGAAATAGTCCACAGCTGTGATCAAAGCATTCCATGGGAGCAAATTGCCTGCACCCAACAAGAAATGGATCACATAAGCTAGATTGTACCAGTCTTTTGGAGGTACCATCATCTTAGAGAGAGAGTCCCCTCCTTCCATCGCTACCAAACTTGCACCATTCTTTTGGTCGAGGTGGGTGACCTTCTTCACACTTCTCTCATCTGATGGAGGGGGAGAGCTTTGGTTTTATGCCTTGAAATCACAAATTCTGAGGTTGTAATGATCAACTGAGATGAGAGTTGCTGGCGCCTCTCAAACTCGCGTAATTCATCCAAATGGGCCTTCTCGGTTGGCTTCCTCTCCTTATATGCAGGTTAAAGTGTGCGGACACGGGCTTCGGATGTTATCACAATGTACTTTTATTATGCTACTAAAACTTCAACTTGGTGTCACGGGACCATGTCAATAGTGCATCTCACGCCTGAGTTTGGAGTTGGACAATGCATTTTTGATCGGTTACTTTAGAACAACAGTTTCTTGTGATACTGTTCGGCAAATGAAACTGTGTGATTCTCTCATTCGTGGGTTTTGAAGGCTTTCGAGTCTATACTCATTTCCCATTTTCAGATATGACTAAAGCACGCCTCAATTATTCTGGACACGCTTAGTTGATGTCCATTTCTTCTGGAAAGAGACTCAAGAATACTTTGATTTGTGACAGAGTGCGCTACTATAACCGAATAAGAAGAGAAAAAATCTCGAGGCTTCTTTTGTAAAGTCCTCCCAATATCATTATGCGGGGCTTTGGCCCATGTTTCACTCCAAAAGCTGTGCTAGAATATAATGAGAAAGATGTACAATCTCTCTCTCTCCCGCCCAAACAAAAAGTAGCATTAGAATATGGTGACAAATATGTACCACTCCCCTCTCTCACATGTTTCTCTACAAAAGTTGCATTAGAATATATTGAGAAATCTATGCAGCTGTCTATGCTATGCAAGCGCCAAATTTGGACCTCTCTTGGTAAAGGGGCTGGGTCGTGGTGTTAGTACCCCGGCACCTTAGTCACCATGTGGTGGTTTTTATTTCCGTCCCTCACTAACACCTTCAAAAAAAAAATTAATTCTTAAATTATTTGAAAAAACGCACCCTAGTCACCATGTGGTGGTTTTTATTTCCGTCACCCACTAACACCTTCAAAAAAAAAACTAATTCTTAAATTATTTGAAAAAACGGGTACGGGCATGTCTTCCCCATTGAATCACCCAAAAAAACAAAAAATAAATAAATTTGGGCCCCTCTCTCTCCGATGTGTGATACTATAAAAACTGAAAAATAACCCTTTCAGCATCCCTTTGTGTGCAGTTAATTCTATAACACACTACAAGAAAGATTGCAAGCTTTATGGGACACATTTATTATTCTTTTTATGTGTTCTATTCATTTGTGCGCCTACGCCCAAGCCCTATCCTCTATACATGCATCCATAACTGATCCCAAGAAGCACAAAGCCCATGAATATCTTTTTTTTTTTTTAATTACTATATGCTACATATTATATACTATATCGGTGTGGTTTGTATAGAGCCTAGGCTCTAAACAATCAAATTGGAGTCTACCTTCAAATAGTATCGAGAAATGTGGTTTTAATACGGGAAATCTTTGTGATAGCCTTAAAATATATTTTTATATTTATTTATAAATTTTAAAGCTTAAAGAATAGTGTAGATCAAACTTGAAAATCTTGAAAATTGACGGTCCAAAAATACGTTATACACTATTTCCAAAACTTGAAATCTATTTTTTTCTCATGTCCATGCATCTTGATGTCAAGAAAATCAATTTGAAGATATTTAAGCATCAAAATAACCTAGTCTAGTGAAATTTTTGAGGTAGGCTCAAATTTGATTGTTTAGAGCCTCGGCTCTATATAAACTTTTCCCTAGACTATAAGACCTTTACTTTTGTTTTTTTTTTTTAAAAAAAGGCACAATAATCCTTAAACCATCAAATGTGAAATAATTTGTCCTTTCCTCCTTATGAAAATCAAAGAAAAAATTGAAAAATGTAACCAACTCTTTCATTTCCTTGGGCCACTCATCATCTGTCGGAAGTTTCGGATTTAAGATCAATAATTTTGTAACATCCAATAAATCTAAGTATGGTGCTTGGTGTGTTGATTTTCGCACTTTTGTGCTTGGTATGTTGATTTTCACACTTTGAGTGTGATCAATGGCGCATTCTTAGCCGTCCAATTTCATATGGCGATTTTGCTTCTGTATACCAACATCATTGTACATGTTCTGTCTATTTTTCACTTCTTTTCTATTGTATTCTTTTAATTTTGTTGGTTCACACTTTTCTTGGTCAAGAAATAACCATGGGGAATATATGTTCTCTTCACATTCTGGTGAGCAGAATCATCATCAAGTGAATTGGACGGTCAAGACTGAGAAACGTGGCCAGATAAGAGCTTCTCTTTTTGATTGTTTGATGCTCCTCCATCACGGTAAAGAGTTGTCCAGCTTTTGGGGTTTTACCTTTGCTTTTGGAGTAAATAATTGCAGCAAAGAATATTCTCCAATAAAAACACTGATACAACAGTTAAGAGAAGGGGAGAATGGTAACACATGGTAGACACCTAGGTGGCTAAGGTAAAATATAAGATATTTTATGGGAATAAGTTTGTTTCATGGCCTTTGTTTAGGTTTGTCACGTACATGAACAAGTAGACGATGGCTTCATGATGATGTCGTTCCCTCCCATTTATTTACAGGGATGGCAACGGTCCGGTCTGGGTCTGGGTCCGGGTCCGAGTTTGGCCGAACCCAGACGCAGATCGAAAAAAATGATATGAGACCCAAACTTGGACTTGGACCTGGACCTGGACTTAGACCTTAATAGTGGTTGGGTATAAAATTTAGACCCGAAACAAACCCTTACCCAAAACCGGATTGGGTCAACCCTTTGAGTCCCAATAATTTTCTTGGACTTTGAGTGTGTTTAATAATGCATACCTAGCTCCTAATTTTAATAACAACCTAATTTCACATGTAACAGTGAGAATGGAACGTCTTTTTTTTTACAAAAGTATAGGGCTCAAGGTCAATTAATTTTATTGGAATAGGGTAATTTTATTTAAAATTAATACACTTTGGATCATATTATCTAGGTAGCCCTTCGGTTTGTATCTTGCATTATGTATAATTTTATTTAATTATTTAAACTTTTTAGTTTAGCTATTTTTAGTAAAAAAGGTATTTTTAAAACAAATTACTGTGATTAAAGTAAAAATAGCTTTTTAAAAAGATAAACTTACATATAAAATGGCCTATAAATTTATCTCTGATAATTATATCCAGGAATAAATTTGCTAAAATAGAGAAGTGCATTCAAATAGGCTTCATTGTCTGCTTTCTCTTGTGTGGTCTCATGAGAGCATATAAGATACTCCGTGGGAGGGCATTGCGTACTTAATCCCCAGGCAAAAGACTTGAGAGGGTTTTTTTATTTGAAATTTTGGTTTCCATTTTAGAATTATCAAATTATATTCTTAAAAAATAAAATTTTAGTTTGTAAATATTTAGATATATTAAATTTATTTATTTATTAAATAAAATTTGAGTTTGTAAACATTTAGATCGAACGAGTTTTGACCTATAATTTTTCTAGTCGCCTTCGCCATGTCTAATTTTTTTTGGCGTAATTTATCAAAATACATCTAACTTTTTAACACTTTAAGAGATTTTCCTTTTTCAACTATTCGAACTTATGACCATGTATTTTGAGAGATATTTTGAAATTAAATTAAAAATATATGAAAAAATATTAAAGGGATTGCCTACAAAGAGACTATTTATTTTTTGTACATGAAGGTCACAGTGGTTCCCACTCATTGAGTATCAAATTTGATAACATGGGGTGAGTCACGAAGTTGAAGAAATTTTTTTTTTGGAAAAAATTTATACAAGGATGCAACCTTATAATATAGAACTACGGATGCATCTCAAAAATCCATCGGACAAGGTAGTTTTAATGTTGAAAAACCCTTTAATTGATCATCTTGACATCGAGATGTATGACCATGAAAAATGAAAAGATTTTAAGTCTCAAAAATAGTGCATTTTACAACATATTATCTACACCGTTTGATCTTAGATCCGACGTCTCAAAGTATTTTATTTTTAATATAATTTTTTTGAATATGAAATTTGGTTTGTGACATCTTCTCATTGGGGGCACACCTATAAATAATAATAATAATAATTTTTTGATTAAAAAATAATGACCAAAATACCCCTTGAAACTTTCAGGGGTATTTTGATTATTTTATTTTATTGAAAATATTTTTTTATATGTTTCGTTAGTGCAAGTTTAATAGAGGTGTCAAAATAGTTTATAAAAAAAAAAATTAAAAATAAAATAGTGTAGAAACGTGACATTGTGATTGTGGCAACCCTCCATTCAAAATTGGACGTTGGATAAGGGGGAGGATAGAACTTTTATATTGTAGGGAGAACATAGAAAGCTTTTTCATTGAAATTTAAGGGACAAGAATGATTATAACCTACATGGTACAAAAGATAAATAGTCTCTTTGTAGACAATCCCAATGTTAAATAGGTTGTTTGCTAAATGTATTTTGATAAATTTCCGTTCTTTTTTTATAGAAGGATGAGCATGTGGACCCAAACTTCTCAAGCGTATGCAAACTCAAAGCCAAGAGAATGGGCTCAAAGCTAAATAGTTAGTGTTGGATTTGGTGTATTCCAATATCACACATGTAAGGAAATTTCATATTATGTGGGATTGAGATTGATCCGTGTTATATAGGATTGAGATTGATATTGATAAGTTTCTTAAAGGAAATATAAATCCAAAAAGATTAAGATTCTTAGATATATCTCTTGGTTTTTGAGATATATGTAATATCTATTTAAATTTTGTATTTGGTGTGGACTTCTAATCTTATATATATTAAATGAAAGTGGAGAGAATTTGTATGTCCTATTTGGGTTATGGGAATGGTAGTTCCTCTAGAGAGAGAGAGGGAGGCAAAGCCTCACGTGCATAAAATGCAATTTCTTCCTAGAGAAGAGAGCTTTCTTTGGAGATAAACATTTTCCTCTTAAAGAAGAATGAAGAAAAACATTTTCCTCTTAGAGCAAAGAGCTTCATATGGAGGAAAAACATTGGTATTGTGCCTCATGAAGATTGAGAAGCTTGTTTCTTGTAGAGAAGCGGTTCTTATGGAGATTTTGGATTGTTTCCTCTTTTAGTTAGAGAGAAAGTCAGTTTTTTAAGAGAAGAGGTTAACATGGAGATTTTAGGTTGTTTATCCTTTTAATTAGAAAGAAAATCAGTTTCTTATTGCTCTCGTATCTGTATCAGGTATTGGCTAGATTTTGAGTTGTTTCCCTTTTAGGTAGAGAAAAAATTAGTTTCCATTACTCTCACGTCTCTATCTGATGTTAGAGAAAAAATCAGTTTTCTATTGTTCTCGCGTCTCTATATAGTGTTGTCGGTAATGGTTGTCAGAAGTAAATAGAAGGAATAAAGAGTAGTTTAAAATGTCGGTAATAGTTGCTAGAAGTAAATAGAATGAATAAGTAATGGTTAAAAGGCACGACTGAGTTTTGTCGAGGGTTATAAAGGTAACTATATGTTCCAAAATCTTTGATGTAACTTGGTATAGTAGATTTTGTCGTGCCCATGCATGTAGCCCCATGGATGTAGCTCTTTTGGAGTGAACCGCATAAATATTTGTGTTTTTGTGATATGTATTTCGTATTTTATTTATCATACTTTACTTGTCAAAAATCAACTAATCGGATTTTGTGCTTCCAAGCACAACAATTAAGGTGACAAAGGGCCACAACGTGACATATTGAGTTATATTCTTATTATGGGTTGGGGAGCCAAAGTCCCCAAAAACTTTTCCAAGAATATGCGGAGAAATGACATATGCAGCATCCGATTGTACATCCGACGGCTTTCTGGTGTATGCGATTGTTCCGCAGAAAAATTGACGATTACGTTATACCCCATGCAATGTACACAAGGAAAAAGAGTAATAATCTTAAAAAGCTTATATAGAGCTGAGGCTCTAAACGAACAAAATTAGAGCCAACCTCAAAAATCTCATTAGAAGAGGTTGTTTTGATGCTCAAATATCCTCTCTCATGTCAAGATATATGAACATGGGAAAAAAATGGATTTCAAGTTTTGGAAAGAGTGTATCTTGTAGCGTATTTTTTGACCGTCAATTTTAAAGATTTTCATGAATGTGTTTGATCCACACTATTTTTGAAGCTTTGAATTTTACAATTAAAAATAAAAATGTATTTTAAGGCGATCACAAAAATTTCCAGTATGGAAACCACATTTGTCGGTAGTCTATTTGAAGGTGTGCTTTACTTTGATTGTTTAGGGCCTCTGGCTCTATACAACCGCACTCAAAGATTATTTCACAGTTTCCGCTGATAAAACCAAAGCCAGAGGACGCAGTCCTTGCATTTAAAATGGGCTCTCCTCATACTCTTCAAATTCCCTGCCCCTCCTTCTCTCTCATCTCTCAACCATTCAATTCCTCTCACACTAATCACAATTATTCCTCCAAACCCATCAAGAGTAAGTCATAATCTTGTGCTCTGTTATGTTTATTTTCAGAAATTTTGATATCACATGTTATGTTCGTGTCCAATAATTCATGTGGCATCTGAAGCACCATATGATGAATCACTTACTCTTGGAAATAGGAATCATGTTCTTCTTCTTTTTCCTTTTCTAAGTAAATGTTCCATATTGTCTTGTCAATCCACGTTCATTGGGAAGTTTGCTCGGAGTCTTTTATTTTCAATTGTGTCTTTCTCCCTCACCTTCTCTCCCCTTTTTCTTTTCTGCTGCATCCTTTTTTTCTTTCTTTTTAATTTGGCATTGGGGTTTTTCTTCCCTGCTGCATTGAGTTTATATCAGAAATCAGTGTTGCTAATGAACTGTAGAATGTGTACAAATTTTGCAGGTGGCAAGGTGGGTTGAGGTAAAATATGATTGGTATTTTTAAAATTGAATTAAACTGTGTTTCATACTAAATATAAGTTGCAACTTGAATAACCAAATGAGCTGTTGCATCCAACTTCTTAATTGACCTTGGTGCTGCCAGGCTATTGCAAGATGGCATTGTGAATAAACAAAATTCCATTGTTGTGTTAATATATATTTCTTATTTTCTATAAATTATGAAGTCATGTTCAATTCAATCTCCTAGCGTGTTTGGGGTTCTTTAATAGTTTATTCCAGTATTTAAGGGCACGACCGAGTAACTTGGCCTACGACCGAGGTGAGTTCTTGGGGCCAACTCGAGCCCGTTTAAAATGAGTAAAAATGCTAGTTTTTCTTAAAAAATCTTAATTAAATGATTTATAAATACATTTCTAGATCATTTATAAGGTTTTTATGATGATTGGGAATTTTTATCTTAACATACTCCAATTTTTTATGATTCATTTTTTCTCCAAATATTTTAAGGTATAAATCAAAATTTTCAATAATCCATCCTGTATGTACTTTTTTTCTGACTTTTATGGACTTCTAGTAAATTCTATTATTTATTTCGCATTTCCTATTTTTAGCCTTTTTCAACAATTTTTTACATGTTTTTTTATTTTTGACCTTTTTTGACATGTGCACTACTCGGTCGAGTCCACTCGAACTCCGCCACGTTACTCAGCTCAAGCCAAGGACTGAGTCAAGTTAAAAACATTGGTTTATTCATTGGAGAAATGAATTGTAATGGATGAAAATGTTTGGTGATGTAGATAGCCCGACATAATATCATCATCATCATCATCGTCTGAGCCTTACCTCAACTATTTGAGATTGGCTACACGGATCCCGTTCCACCATTCTGTTCTATTAAGGGTCATACCCTCAGTTAGGTTATAAGTCACCATATCTTCTCTCACTACTTCTATCCATATCTTTTCGCGCCTTTCTTTTGCCCTTTTAGAGCCTTCCACCTAAACCAAATCGCTCATCCTATCTTGTTTTGTTCTAGATTAATACTGCACATGGCCGGACCACTTAAATCTACTTTCCCTCATCTTATCGCCTATTGGAGCCAACCCTAAGTTCCCTCAAATACATTCATTCTGAATTCTATAATTTCTTGTCTTGTCACTTATCTATCTCAACATCCCCATCTCAGCTACACTCATTCTATGGATATGTTATTTTTTTACCGCTCAACATTCTATCTCATGAAGGATGGTTGGTCTTACATCTGTCTTATAGAACTTCCCCTTCAGTTTCATTGGTATGCGATGATCACATAAGACTACGGAAGCGCATCTCCACTTCATCCACCTAGCTCTAATTCTATGCGTGACATCATCCTCAATCTCTCCATTCTCATGGATTATCGACCTAAGATATTAAAAATACTATCTTTTAGGTACTTCTTGGCCATCAATCTTAACTAATTCCCAGTTTCTAATCCTATTATTACTAAACTTGCATTCTATATATTCTGTCTTAGTATGACTAATTTTAAAATCTTTAGATTCTAGAGCATCCTTACAATGTTCTAATGACACCGTCTCTAATCTCACCGCAAATGACATAGCCAACATAACATCAGATATTATTTCTTGTTCGATTTGGGAAGAAATAATTTTTGGCCTATCAAAATGTTTGTTGATTTAGATTTTGAAGTCAGATATAGTTTTGTTTTTCAGAGAAATTAGGAGATTTATTTATTCATGTTTTTTTTTTTTTGGTCCCTTTGCCATGAGAAGGATTCATAAAGCTGATAACGTGATCATCTAACTAAAATGAACAAGGGCTTATAGTTTATACACATACAAGATGGGGATATTCAATCGCAAAGAAAGTTATATGACAGATACATGTTACTGATCATTTAAATTAAACCATGAAATTTCCATTTCACAGGCAAATTTTGGTGTTTCCAGCGGTGAATCAACTTATCTGTTAATTTGTGGGTCTCTTCACATAGTTCACTCAGGATATGATTGATTGGCAATCACCCATCCTGCTATTACTTGCAAATCTCTCTCTTCATTTGAGTTTGTGGGGGACAATTGTGGAAATGATGTTAAAGAGACTTTACAATAACTATTACTTGCAAAGAAATTGTTTTAGTTAGTCTTTTAGAACACAGACTCGGGTCAGGACTTGGTAGGGTCCCAAGCATGAGGTAGGTGAATTAACCTGTTCGAGTATGGTTGAAACCCATCTGAGTGTATTTAGAAAAAGCACTAAAAGGGTCAAAAAGTGTGCCACTCATGCTAGTTTTGTGGTACTTGCAATGGGACTTGTCAGGGTCCCAAGGCAAGTTGACTTGGGCAAGTCCTGAGGCAAGTCGTTGAGTTTTAAGACACTGGTTTTAGTAGTTGTGTTATTTTATGCAAAATTTTTGTTGTGGTAATCGCTAGGCATTTTCTTTGATTTTTGTGACCTAATATTGGCAAGATCAAGAACCGCCAAGGTTTTAAAAAATGGCGATCCAGATCGGAATAACCCAAGTCGGACCAGATTCGATGGATGGGAGAGTTGCCTGACGTCCACCCATTTAATTATATTATAATTATTTTCCCGGTTTCAGCCTATCCAAATCGCCTGGTTCTACTGATCCAGATTGGTTCACAGGTGATCCAAAACCCAATTCTGGGTAAAGTACTAAGAACCACTATAAATTCAGAAGTCTCTAATATATAGTAAACATATGGACTTCCTTTTGTTAGGTATATTGAACTTGATTCTTTCATTGCATGTAACTCTTGATGAATTCTATATTGTGCAGATAGGAAGAACTCCTGTAATTGTCATAAGAGGAGAGCACTTCTCCTTTCTTCAATTCTGCCACTGCTGCTACCTCTACACCATCTGCCACAAAGTTTTGATGCCTGTGCTGTAGGTATTTTCAGATACCCATTGTTTCTTCATGGTTTTCCTGTGTTTTTACTTCTACCATTGTGAATCATCTTGCATTTGCCAAACTCATTGGGAATGCTGCTAGCAACTTCACACATTTAGATTAGGATTCTTACATACAATTGAAGTTCTTATATATATGTGATCTGCATTGGGTATTTTAGTTATTTACATGCAACCAAAATGATTCTGAATTGAATTGCCCCTTCTTGTCTTCTAACATGTGTAGGAATAGGTCCACTAGTATACTTTCGAAATTGATCTGAATAATTTTTGGTGCTCTCTGTGCATGTTTTGTTGGCTAAACTTTATGTTTTGGATGGTGTATGTTGGACGAGTAGAGGATAATGATTCTTCACTTATAAGAGATGAGCTAAGGAAAGTCATGTCCAAGGCCAAAGCTGCTGGTTTGCTACGCCTTGTATTTCATGATGCAGGGACATTCGACTTGGATGATGATTCAGGTAATCGTCCAGAGGATATGTGGTTAGAAGACCTTTACAATGGTATCTTATGTATTTCGAACCACTTTCTCTTATGGATCCAATTTGTGTAAGAAAGAAGGATGGGTTTGCTTAATGGCATTGAGTCTGTGTCTCAGCTTGTAGGTTGCAGCTTTGAAAGTCATCGTTATTAGTGAAGGAATTGGCATGCAATACTACAATAGTACACATGTGTATACACAACACAAAACTTCTTCTTGCAGTAATTATCTTGTAAAAAGCTTTCAAAGTCAATATATGATTCTAAAGAGTTGCTTCCTTGGCGTTAAAAGACTGAGACCAGTGGAACCAGCAGAAGGCTTTCTCTTGATAGTTGAAACCACTTTACAAATGCCAATGCACAATCATAGAACCACTAGGGTTAGGGCTACGAAGATAGGGACAAGTCCCATAACAATTTTTACTTTTTTCAAGAACTCTGAGTTGAAATGGACTCGATGAATTCACCTCTATTCTACTCTGCACCAACTTAGCACTCAAGATCTGCACATGCGAATGAAATACAATGCTAATGTCACGTGCATTAAATTACCACAACTTTGCTTGTAATTCAGACTTTACTTCAAGAAATGTGTCTATTACCAAGTAAAAATGATTTTTTATACTGAAATGATTGTGCATGGCGTTATGAAGTTCTGAATGTCTGAGGAGCAAATTGTACACTTGCTTCCTCGGGCAAAAGACCTACTTATGAGAATTTTCTCAATCCCATTAGAATCACTACATGAATATTTTCCAAGACAAAAAAAAAGAAAAAAAAAGACAGGATTTTGAGTTCCTATGAACTTAGATCTGACCATCCAAAAATTGGATCGTCTCTTATCAGTTCTGGGGCATTATTTTTTTCAGGCACATATATAGTCCATGTGTTTTTCTTTTTCTTTTTTGTTTTAATTTTTTGTCGTTGATCAGTAGGTCAATAAGGTTACGTCCCCAAAACTTGGGGTCCTAAAAAAACTCCTAGATATGGTTTTACCCATGGGAGTGAATGGGCAATCGGCTCCCATGGGAGCATATAAACCTTTGGCATTAGTTTTATCATTACTAATGCTAGTAGTACAACAATAAGTATTACAGTTATTTCCTTTATCAAGTTTACAATAAGTATTCTATGGTTCATCCTTTAACCTTTCATTTTGACCACATGTCACTGTTCCTCATCAAATCTGGTTTCATCAGTTTGAATTTCTAATCATTTAAAGAAAAGAAAATAAAAGAAGAAAACTTGATCCTTATTATCGTGTCTCTGGTCTCAACAGAGTTAGAATGCATTTCAGTTATTAAATCAGTATATTCTATTTTATTTATTTATTCTTTTAAGATATACGGTGTTTTCTGTTTACACGAACTGCCATTTTATTCACTCAACAAATAACCAAACGGCAGACCTAGTAGCATGCGTTAGTTAGTCTAACATATGATACAAAGTTATAAGCTGTGGATAAATAGTTCCTATTTTGTGAGCTTGTTACCTATTTTAATACTTTTGCTTAAAATATATCATGCATGGGTTCATTTTCCTTCCATGCTCTGTCCATGAAATATTTCTTGACCAGTTATTTCAAATAATTCTTCTTTATCAAATTTACTCATCATGTTTCGACTGAAGAAATACCTGCGGAAATGAGCTTGAACCTCTTATTGCTCCATAAACTTGTTCTCGGCGTTTGAAGCAGTGCATGTTTTTCATCATAATGCATTACTTCATTGTTTGAAATTCAGAACATTGTTAATGTTGAACCACAGAAGTTTCTTCATTTTGAAGTTCCCCCTACTACTTTTTTCTTTGTAGGTGGCATAAATGGTTCCCTAGTATTTGAGCTTGACAGACCTGAAAATGCAGGTCTAAGGAAACCTTTGAAGGTATTACTCCACCTTCAGAATTTTCATATTTTTAAATTTTGATATATGGATTAGGTGCTTTAGCTCCTTCGATGTGCATGGGGTATGTTAGAACTTACAAGATATGCAAGCCACACCATATTTACCATTCCCTTATTTGCTCAGTCATAATTTCGATGAATGAATAGAAGAATCATATCAACACTGATTCTCACTGAATTTCTGTTAACATGAGGCAGCATAAATGGTGCGTCAAGCCTCCTATCAACTTGGACAAGAAGATAGGTACAAGAGTTCCCCATGCTCGCCTTAAGGGAAAAGAAATCAGTTGCCACACAGGAACACCTCCCTTTTGGTGGAATTTCCATGTCAATGCCATGACTGTGGTTTTCGTCTGTGTTAATGGAACCAAGCTTGCAGTTTGCTAATGTTATTAGTATAAATTGACAATTGAATTCTGGAATTTGCACTAATTTCAAAAGTACATTTATCCTTATAATGTTTTTTACCGGAACTTTAAAGTTCAATTTCTAGAAATTAAGGCTTCTAACATTCTCTAAATCCTCATCATGCTTTCTCTTTGACATGGCCATATCTTTTATATTGGCTCTGTAAGAGGTCACCCCATCTGCAAACTGCAATTTACCCAAAAAAAAAATTCAAAATAAAAGGTTTTCCCTCTGCAAGCTCTGCTTATGTCATGTTCAAAATGCATGTCAATGCCATTGGAAACAAATCATCTGGCTCTATAAATGATGAAAACGCTTGTCATGTGGGTATGTTCTGAATTCCATCTACACCTCTTTTCTTCAGTCTTCTATTGCTAGACTTATGTGCTTCTTTAGCATATCTTTGTTTCAGGTCTTGGCGAAGGCAAAGACAAATATCGATAAGATTGTTCCAGGTAGGTACTGGAAAATGTTCTACTAAGTTTAAGTTTAAATTCCTATTTGTTTTAACTGATTGAATATTTTGTTTTTGTTTTAGTATCCTGGGCAGACATGATTGCTCTAGCAGGAGCTGAAGCAGTTTCCTTATGTGGAGGCCCTAAAATTCCAGTAGAACTAGGAAGGCTCGATGCTTTGTAGGTTCTCATAAATTTTTAGTTTTGGTTCTAATAAGTAGTGGTTCAATTTGAAAATTAATATTTTCTATGTGCCTTTTAGAGTACCTGATCCAGAAGGTAGGCTTCCTGAAGAGTCTTCTGATGCTTCTAGTCTGAAGACATGTTTTCAGAGAAAAGGCCTCTCGTAAGTTCCTTGTCATTGAAAAAATGAAGTTTGGGATCCCTCCCTTAACTAGTTGGAGTCGATGATTTTTTTAGTTTATTGAAAGAACTATAAACAATGATCATAGGCATATTTTTGAGGACTTACCTGAGATATTTTTATGGGTTCATATATGCAGTGAAGTTTCTGTAGAAAAATATCACATCACCCTAGCCATTCAATGTCACCAAGGGATGCTAGGGTGTCTTGTTCATCTGCTCAAAGTTCCTTGAAAATCTTGATGCACTTTGAGGGGAACTACAGTCCTCAGCCATCCCTTCTTGACATCTAACGGCTGGGGTTGTGTGAAGTTTCCCACAGAACTTTCACTGCATCATTATAAACACTTGACCCTTTTTTTTTTTTCTTTCGTTTACTGATCAAACTCTCTTTTGACCTCCTAGTAAATTTTGAAAATGTATTTAGTTTTCTCAAACTCACTTTCAGATATTGTAAATTTTGTTAACTTGGATTGTGTCTTATTGGACTCGAATTTATGTAGCATGAGCTGACTAATGGTATTTTGGCAATGGCAGCACACAAGATCTTGTCGCGTTATCTGGAGCACACACCTTGGGTGGCAAAGGATTTGGGAACCCCACCGTTTTCGACAATTCTTACTTCAAGATACTACTCGAGAAACCATGGAATTCTTCTGGTACAGACACTTGTACTTCTCTCTCTTATAAAATTTTGATGGTATTGTTAGTGTATTTCCATGGGTTATGTATCCCAAAAATCTCCATCATTTTTAGAAAGAACACAAAATTCGCATGCATTGCGTAATAATATTGATATGCATACAGCTGACATGTCTAGTATGATTGGGCTCCCTTCGGATCATGCACTTGCTGAGGATGATGAATGCCTAAGGTGAAGAACCTCTCCTCTCTTTTCTTTGGTTAACCTCCTCTTGATTTTGAAGAGTTTTTTTAACTTTTTTTCCTCTAGTCTAGTGAGGTTTTGCATGGGAACCCCGCTCATTGTATTAATCTCATATGTAAATTAAGCCCAAAACTATGGTTTTCAGCAGTGATACAAAAACAGGAAACCTGAGTTGGATCTTCATTTCCGATCTGGATTGCTTGATTCAGGTGCATAGATGGTGAAGGAATTTAAAAGAGAAAGAGGATATTGGGAAAATTGGGGGGAATTCCAGGATTCCTCAAATTGGAATTGCCCAAATACTATTCCCAGTCTTACTTGGGTGATTCCAAGTTGGATCGGTGATTTTTCAAACGCTGGTTTATAGCCTAGGTATAAGTATGAATGGAGTGTAGTATTGGTTTTCCTTTGTATTCAATGCAATCTGAGATCAACATTGGTTGGTGTGGTCTCTCTCTCTCAGGTGGATCACATTATATGCTGAGAATGAGAAGAGATTTTTCAGCGATTTCGTGACTGCATACACTAAGCTCGTGAATAGCGGTGCTCGATGGCAGAAGTCTTGAGAGAGAGAGAGAGAGCGTTAGAGAGAGGTGTTTTGTCATGTGTTGTGCCAATGTGGTGTACCTCCTAGTTATGGTCTCAAGCCTCCCACCAAGAAGCTACAAATTGCCTCTCTCTCTCTCTCTCTCTCTCTCTTTTCCTGTCCCAGTTGCTGGTAATGAAATGGCTTGGATCTCTTTCTAAGAAGGAAAACGACACAGAATGGACTGCTAAAGCTTTGAGTCTCTTTTTTGGCTTATTGGCGGTCCAACATTAGCCGACTTCAATTAATTGAAAAAAGACTATGATGAAGATGAATTGGAAGCATTGAATCTGGACCATCCATTCCCATCCAAAGTAGCCATCTACTAACTACCAAAACATGGGAAAAAATTTCCTTCTTTTGTCTTTCACTTTTTAATTGTGAAAGGGAAAAGACAGTGTTGGAAAGAAGTTCTTTTTGTTTTGTTAGAGTGGAGAGGGAAACGAGTTTTTGTTTTGTTGTTGATTTTAAGGGTTCGCTGCTGCCGACTGCCCTCTTTTGCACGTGTATACGATTGTACGCATGCGGAAAAGGGCTCCCCATTTTCATGGGTCCTGGTCATGGAGCCCCAACTAAGCACTCTCAATGTCAATAAGCTCTCTCTCTCTTTCTACAACAAAGCATTATCTAAATGCCAATCCAGATCTCTATCTTGTGAGGGCTTCTTGGTATCTATGTGCTTCTTCCCTGATTCGGATTTTGTGAGATGCCGATTGCCTCATTAACTTTCTCCTAAAAAAGTCACTAACTCCCCCCCTCTCTCTCTCTCACACATACATAAAGCATTCGGTTACGGGTGGCCCAGCTTGGCCTAAAAAACTAGGACCTGGGGCAGAAAATGGCCCGAAGGCCGGGCTTGGGCCAGAAAATGCCTGAAGCCAAGACAGGCCCAGCTCGATGCTTTTTTCTTTTTTTTTTTCTTTTTTTTCCATTTAATTTTACCCAGCCCGGTCTTGATAGGACCATGGACCCCTAGGCTGACCTTCAAGGGAATAGGTCCGGATTATGGCCATGGATAACGTGGCCCATTGCCAGCCCAACTTAATGTCAATAATTCTCTCTTTACTCTTTCTCTTTCAAGGAGGGTTTCTTGTTGTGCCCCTTGGATTTCTTTTCACCTTTTGGGTTTTGTGAGTTGCTAGTGCTTAGGGAAAACAAAAATATAAACAAAAACAAAGTCATGCCCCCTTTTTTAACACAAGGAAAATTGTTTCTTGCAGGCCGATTAAAAAATCGACGAATCGTAAAGAACTCACCCGAGTCAACACAAAAATCAATTATTTTATAAACCGCTCGCATGACATCACAGATGGACATGATGTCAAAAACCGCCCATATGACATCACAAGTTGGGAGAAATCTCGGATGCCTCACGTGTACCACATGTGGTTCTCACCTCAACCAATGCCTCCTGGGAGATTATGTTGGAAGTGCTTATATCACCATTTTATGTCCTACCACGCTTCGATGTGGGATAAATACAATTCAATGCCCAACGTTCGACCTCAAATCAATATATTGTTTTATTATAGGGAAACTAACATAATGTGGCGTCTGAGGGGTTTGGTTATTATGTTGCTATTTAAGCAAAAGGTCCTAGGTTCGAGTTCAAACCCTATGCTAACGTTGTGAAAAAAATTTGAATGTGATAAACAAAAAAGAAAAAAAGTGAAATAAAATGAAATAATCTTTTTCATATAAAAAAAGGAAAAAGTGAAAAAAATCAACAAAAATAATAATATCATCAAAAAATAAAAAGAAAAATAATCATATAAAGGAAAATAATAATGTCATCAAAAAAAATAAAGAGGAAAAAAATAATGTCATAAAAAAAGGAAACAAAGAGTTTTATTTTTATCTTTCAAAGAAAATAAAAGGAAAAAGAATATCATCAAAAAAATAAAAGAAAAAAGTAAAATAAAAGATAATGCAACAAGCATTTTTTGTTAAAAAACAATTTATCCTCTGAAAATAAAGTAAAAGGAAGAAAATAATATCATCAAAAAAAAATAATAATAAAAGACAATATAATAATACAATAATTCGAGATTTTTGTGGCAATTTTTGATCAATTTAATCCATTATTTATTGTAGTCCATATATGATTATATATTTTATCCATGATGATTCTATGATTTTTCTTTTACGTAATGCAAATTTAATGGTTAACATAAGTTTAAACAGGGAAAGAACATCTCAATATTCATAGATTGATGAAAAAAATAGAACAATAATGTAGTACCCTATTTCTTATTGGATTCTTAAAAATAAACATTTATAATGAATTTTAATAATTTTTTCAGATTTTTTTTAAGGCTTAATCCGACCGATTCGGCCGATTCCTGATCTGGATTGCTGATTCACCGATCCGGATGGATTTTTGATGTGCCCGATCTGAGTCACCGATCCGTTTTTTAAACCACTGATGGAAACTAACGGTCCAAATGTTTTCTTATTAGAATTATTATTTTTAATGTTTTAAAATTACTTATTTTTTCATATTCATGATCTATATGTTAGAGATTACATGTCCTTAAAAATTAAGTCCAAAAATTCACCTAAAAAATAAATTTATTAATAGGCCCGTATTTCTATATATGTGGGCTTGGCCACATAAAAATTGAGTGTTGGGAATACGTATAAGTTTATACGGTGTCAACCTTAAACAATCCAAGTAAAATGCAACACCAAACCTTTTCGAAAGATGCATTTTAGGTGTTGGAAATTGCAACAATGACTTGAAATCTATTTTACATTTAATTATGAGTTTAAAACTCAAAAAATGCGCAAATCAGGTATATTTATAAGCAATTGAAAATCTTGAAAGTGGATGGTATTGTGTTACATGATGAACCATTTTTAGGATTAGAAGTTCTTTTTTTTTTCTCTCTATGTCCATATATCTTGAGGGTGAAATAATCAATTGAAGGGTTTTCAACATCAAAACAACCTTTTATTTTATATTTTATTTTTACTTTTTCTTTTTGGATTTTTGAGGTATATATTACTTCTACCTTATGAGATTGCTATCTTTTATGAGCTTTTTCCTTCGCATAATGTAAAAACCATTTGCAACCTGGACATTCTTGTGTCAGGAAGCTTTCTGGAGCTCCAAGCATAAGAAACATGAAGCATTACACCCTATAACCATGTTAAGCGTTTCCAAACATAACGTAAGGTCTAACGTATCAAAATCACATACAAATTTGAGTGCGCATTGTTGGAAATAAGGGAGTAAAATAGATCACAATAAGAAACAAAATATATTATATTATCTTTGATTCTAGGCCGGATATATTGCTTTCTCAACATAATACTTAATTTCTACTGATAAGAATAAGTTTGCATCTAAGTTTTTACGAGACAAGTTTGTCCTCGTGATACATGGGAGCAGATGACTGTGAAGACTATCTCGCCAACACAAATTTACAAGTAATACAATATCTACAACACCAGAGTTGTCTTCACACGTGCTTGCCTCATGCATCGAGGCAAAGTGCAAAGTGCCGGCATTCGCATATTGTAGATACCCAATTTTTTTGAATTGACATTTTCTTTTAATCCTAAGTATCCATCCAAGCATAGGAAATGATCCCTAAATACATAGACAAGGCCTTAGATGAAGCATTTTAATCCCTAGGGACTATACCAACCTAATACAACATAGGACACACTAAACCATAGTCATGACCAGACCATAATCTAGCCTATAATATCCCTTAAATTCCCTAGGATCCCATGAAAAAAATCTATTTTCAGAAATCTTGGACCAAAAATGGTAGGTTTATTAGTGAGATGGAAGAATGATATGTTGATACTGCCAAACCGCATATCTAAGAAACCTTATACCGATAACTTTAGAAACCCTAGTTTTCCAACAACCGTGGCCACCCATTTCAGATAAGAAAAGCTTCATCATTTCATTATCTATGGCATTAAACTATTAGGATCCTAGATCTCTCTTTAACCAATTTCATTCAAATATCAAAGTCGTTAATTTATTTCATCACAAGGAGTTTATTCAATCAATTTAAGCTCTAATGAATGCCTCTACTTCGGGTGCCAGGCTGTGAGGTCCCGGCCAGCTCATAAGTTTCACTGCTTTAATTCATTTTGATCTTTCAACTTTATTTTGCTAGTTTACGCCATGTTTCATTCATTATCAAGAGTTTTTCTATTCATCTTTAGACTTCGATGTGATTTCAACCCGGCACTGCCAACGATCCGAAGAAGATTCAATCTATAATGTCAGATCCGATCACCTTTAGATTGGAATTCGACCCAACCCCATCCATCTATTCTTAAATTACTCGTGAAGAGCAGATTTATGTCATGATCTCGTGCGACATCAATCCTGAATCCTGCTGTTGTACACAATTCTAATCAATTTCCAATAAAAGAAGCATTCAAACAAAGGAGATGGTCACAAACGACAGCTTAATCCAAACCCCAAACTCCAGGTTTTGAGTCCTTTGAAGTAAATGTTTTATTTTTTTCTATTTTAATTCTTTATTTTTAAAAAATTTGGAGTTTACTTTCAGAGTTTAGAAATTGTGACCTTTTAAAGATATAGTAGAGGTGGATTTGCAACTCCCTTGAAGTAATGTTATATTTTTTTCTATTTTTATTCTTTATTTTTTAAAAATTTGGAGTTTATTTTCAGAGTTTAGAAATTGTGACTTTTTAAAGATATAGTAGAGGTGGATTTACAATTGGAATTGCCAATAGACTTAGAAAATACCAGATCATTGGATATGTGTCAATGCAAGTTCGAGCATGAACACATGTTGTGCGTGCTATGCACACGTCTTCTCTTCCTTTGTTCTTGAACATAAGTGAAGAGGATATGAGCACGGCTTCCCTCGTCCATATATTCAATGTGGGATAAATAAAGCTATAACTTCTCAATCTACATATAAGACAAAACACACTTTTTAATACATATACTTTCTAAAACATTATGGAACAAAAAAGATATTATTTTGAAATAACACAAAGATGAAAATTCATAAATAAAAATCATGTAATCCCTATATCTCAAGTTCAATTCCGAACACTGAAGTAGCCCAAAAAAAGGGAAAAATTACAAAAAATACCCTAAAATGGACTATCTATGCAACATACCCCGACCCCAATTTTTTCTCTCACTTTTTTCTCCAAAACTACCTTTCCTCACAAAAACCCCCCAAAGTAAAAAGTTGTTATTTTTTAGACGAAAATGCCCTTCCTGTACAAACCAAATCAATTCGTGGGTCCCAAGTAGCGTACTGCCGGAGCACGTCTTTGTAATACCAGAGCATGTCTTTACACTACCGGAGCGCATTCTCATAATGTCGAGCTCTGTGGCTCATACCTGCAATGCTGGAGCGCACATTTAGAATGTCAGAGCACTTGTTTATACTGCTGGAGTGCGGTCCTCATTTGCCGGAGTGTTGTAGCTCCAGAGACTTCATTGCCAGAGTGTTGTGGCTCCAGAGACTTCATTGCCGGAGCACTGCGGCTCAGACCTATATTGCCGGAGCGCACATTCAGAATGTCGGAGCGCGTGTTTGTACTATCGGAGCTCGTGTTTGTATTGCCGGAGCATGTGTGAAAACAGGAGAGAGAAGGCTGTGTGAAAACAAACAAGGGTAGTTTAATCTTATTTCATGCTACTTTTGGGTGTGGAGGT